TAAAGTTAAAATATGCACCGTAAAATAGTGTAGCAACTTGGGGAGTATTAATAAAAGTATTGTAGTAAATTAGGGGTAGAAGATTCTACTGTAGCAACATGGGGTAAAATAATATTTATTGTAGCAAACCTAAATTTATAAAACTGTGAAACAAACATAGGTTTGACTTGGATAATTCTACTCCCCGTTTTGAAAACAGAGAACCAAACACCCTCTAATGGTAATAAAACAAATATTAATCAAATAAGTCCAAATTAATTCATAAATAATGATGAAGAAAAAGATCTACTTAAATTAAAAGGATAATAAAATAATATCTAAATAAGTAATATTATCTCAAAGAAAATAAAATCTAAAAAAATTTAATTAAAAATAAGATCAAGACAATTGTTGATATCAATTTTTGGGTATGTGCTACATAGGTGCCATGCGAGTGCCACACATGCCTCATCCTCTAGCTAAGCTTGACCTACTAGTGCTTTGTTTATTGCACTCCATTGCCAAAGTTAGTACTCAAGATGAGGCAAACAAGTATGGAACACATAGAGTAATAACAAGAATCTCAGTGAGAGTGAGAGTTTTGTTTAGGAGTGTGTGTGAAGAATTCGCGTAAAGGTTCGCATGAAAATTCTTGCTTACCTTCCTTCAAGGGTTGAGTGATGTTTCTATATGGAGAGAGAAAATACAACAAGGAGATGTGAGAACCTCTCCGACATTCCGCATCATGCTCCTGCCATTTCAGAATGGTGTGACTGTGTCCATGATAGTGACCTGACACACTGTACTAGATGCATCGCGGACATACCGTGCAAGTACCTTTAATCGTATTTGTACATCCATGCATTCGGCACCCCATCTTTGTGGATCCTGGGGGTCCACGTGGTCGCACAAGGGGATTTCGAACAATGCTCCAAATTTACCCCTTAACAACAATTATTTGGGCATCAAAAGAATATGCAAGAGTAGAATGTGGGCTTGACATATGCAACTCATGACTTTGCTTGGTTGGAATTGCATGAATTTTGGAATCTCAATTGTAGCTTGGAAGTTGGATGAATCTTAAGATTGTAGAGTCTAGGTTTGATCTTGTAGTTGATATCACATGTGTTGTTTCCTCAACTCAATTGATTTAGGTTGTTTTATTTTACTTAAAATCGACTCGACTTTGACTCGATTACTTTCATACTATGCATTAAAAACCTCAAAACGCCTCATCACCTACTCTCCTTTTTCCTCACTCACTTACTATTTTGGGCATCAAACCTATTTTTAATTCTTTAAGATTTCTATACTAATAGAAATTTGGGTTTCCATGACGTTTAGAAAACGTCACAAAACTATTACGTGACGTTTGTTTCGACGTCTTATATTCACCAAACACGAAAGGTATTCGTGACATTTATGATAAATATCACTAAAAATAGGATTTTATGATGATTAAAAGACGTCACGAGAATTAAATAAACGTTCATAATAGCCTATCATAATCTCACATATTCGCCCATCACAACATCACAGTATTTTACTATTCATCAGCATCACGAAAACCCAAAATTGTAGTAGTGAAGAATGTCGCAACGTCATCGCGACGCGGAACGGTCGACGTCGTCCCCTAAAGGATCTCTTTTGTGATAAGAGTTTGGAGTCGCCACCAACCATCTATAAGGTTTGATTAGTCACCTATTTTAGAATACTTGGTCTGAGAAAAATAGATTTTTGGTTCAGGAGTCGATTGAGCGTAGGGAAGGTGTTAGCACCCTACGACACTCGCTCGAAAATGGTTACCAATGGCAGGAAGACCATTAGAAAAATTAAGCAGTATTGAAAAGACTCCAACTTGGATCATGAAAATTAGTCTGAAAGCATCATACCACTATGCCAGCACCATAAAATGCAAACTTTATTTTCTTTGAAAAAACAAAGCTTTTAATTTATTTTTTTAAAACTAAAAAAAAAAACTTACAAATTTTGTTAAATTAAAATAAAAAAATTTATTTATTTTGAAATTAAAGAGATTCTTTAAAAGAAAAACTTTTATTTCATAATTTAACAAAAAAAAAAATCAAATTTATTTAAAACAAATTTTGCTAAAAAAACTTATTTTTCTTGCTAAGATTCTTTTCCAACATATAACCACCAAACTTGTTTAAAAAGATTTCATTCCTCTATTTATAAAAACATATTTTTTTTATGCTTTTGTAAATTCAAAATTTTATAAATATAAAATTTTATTCTAAAACAACTTTCTTAAAAGATTTTCTTTAAATCCCCTCATTTTATTTCCTCCTTTTAAATCTATGCAGAAGAAGATTCTTTTTAAAATTAAAAAAAAAAACTCATTAAAAAGACAAAAAAAGAGTAAATCTTATTAAAAGGTCTAAAAAAACTCAACTTTTAAACTTTGAATTGAAATTTAAAACAATCCAATTTATTTTTGAAACAAAATTTATTTTATAAAAAACTTTTATTCTTTTTTTTTTCAACTTATTTTAACCAAAATTTTAAAGCAAAATCTTTTATTTAAACGAAATTAACTTTTTATTTACTTCATTTAAAAAACTATTGTTGCTACCGGTTTGCTATGTGGAGCGGCCGACTTTGTTTCCGAGAGGAGAAAAATGGAGTCGCCACCAGTCTTTATTTATAGGGTGTGACTGGGCACTCAAATGCATGAATATGAATAAATTGATATGCACAAAAAGATTTAGGTTCGGTGGTCTTTTGTGTATGTGGAAAGTATTAGCACCCCACAACACTCATTAACGATAATTTATTTTTCATATTATTTTCAAGAAAATGGCCTTAAAAAAAGGATTTTATTTTTATTTTTAAATGTCCCACGTTTTATTGATCATTATTCGTAAGGTAAATAATGGACAATGATTATGAGTGGCCTAAAGCGATTAAGAAAATGTTGTTTATTTGAATTTAAATTGGCCTCCCAAAATAAATTCATCACCTCAAGAATATTAGGGAATCGACCTCTCAAATTCTCCAATCTCCGTCATAGGAAAATTTTAAGGAAAATATTAAAATAAGATTTAGAAAAAGATTTTATTTTTGACTTTTAGAAATATCATGAGTGCTTAAAAAATGTCAACTTTTTAGGACGAAATGTCTTTATAAAGATGTTTTTTTTTATCATTCAAATGTTTTTTTAGCAAAATTTTCCTAATAAAAGAAGATTTACAAAAACGAAATATATTTTTATTTTTTAAAGAAAAGATATTTATTTGCTTCAAAATATGATTTTTTTTTAAGAAAAAGAAATGCAAACAATTTTGTCTTAGTATTTTAATTACTTTTTAAAACCAAACAAGAGATAAATGAGAAAACGACTAAAAATACACCATTCAATTAGTAAACATTTTAAAAATCAAATCTTGGCCTCCTGAAATATTGATCTTTACCCTCAAGAATCCAAGAACATCGACCTACCGAAAATTTCAAGGTTCCATCGTTGGGAGGTTCCCTTTTGTAAAATTTGAGTTGAAGATATTTAATAAAATCAAGAAAAATAACATTTATTGTATAATATTACATAAGATATACATTTGCCAAGGATAGGAATGGAGGCATTCCAGCCCAACATACTCCGGTGAATGGGCATACACATAACTAAAAGAACTGATGCAAATCCAACCACGGATCCATTGACTGTACCCGGGGGACCAATTACAAGAAGCAAAGCAAAGAAGATTCAAGAGGTTTTCATAATACATCTTCAAAGGCTAGCTAATGCACAC